TTCTCCTTGAACTCCTAAAAGGATTTCCTAAAAGGATGTATGTTGTAATGTTTCTGCACTAGATTCTGTGCTTTGTTAAGCACATAATCTAAGAACATTGAGCCTAAAGGCATTGATGACAGAATTTGTGTGTTATTTCGCAGCCGGGCTAGCTGTTTGCCCTGTTTTTAGTCAGTATGCTAAGCTCATTTGTCTGCCAGCATAGCGACATATTAAGGACACCTATAATATTGGTGTAAGATGACTTGGTGTAAGTGGACAGTGGCATACATTTAGAAGAACTCTCATTCCCTGAAGTGGTTTAACATTAAAACACGATAAATAAGACTATCGTCCCTCTTGTAACACACACCAAAAGCTTAACTCTTAGGTAACCTTTCTGAACACTTGACTTAAACACCTCACCTGGTTTCACAAACCACACCAGAGAGCAGTCCCTTTGGAAACTCTTAATTAAAGCGGTAAACAAAAGCTTCCTCTTGGGAATCAGTCATAAGTACTGAGTGCTCTGACAGTGATGTCACTCTGCAGAAAACACGCCTACAGTGTCATGAGTTTTAGGTGCAGCCGCTGGCTCATGCACGTCTCAGCAGCTGAAGACAAACAGTAAGAGTGTGCCATTGTAATTTTGTTTTTGTTGATACACTTGAGTCACACGCAGACGTTTTTTAAATGTATTTACTCAATGAACAGGAACAACAGCAAACAGTGTGTTCAAAGAGAAGGTATGAGACAGGAGTTTGTAAACGAAAGACTCAACACAGATGTACTGGTTAGACCGCCATCACAGTCTCAAGTCAGATGACGCTGACAGATGATTTTTCACTTGCTCTGTGTGATCATGTATTTCATGTTGAATCTTCTGACATCCCACCGCTTAAAATTAAACATACAATTCCTGACGTTACCAAAGTTAAATTTACAAGAAATCAATATCATGGCAAAAGCATGTCGACTTATAATTCACAGACAAACAAATACAACATAGAATAGTCAATCAATTCTCTTTTAATGTATAACTTTAACAAGCTATAATGTGCTTCAATTCATCCCTGACATCTCTTAGATAAATACAGCTGCTGAGGGGGTCCAGCAGGATGCATAAACAGGATGTATTACTACCTCCAAGATGTTTGTAAGTAAGTGGAGTGAGCAGACATACAATGCAAAGTTTCCATGCCTTCAGTGCAACAAGAGGCCCCTCTTACATAACTATACTGCCCACATAGATTTAAAGATAACAAACTGAAAGAGCTGCAGGGTTAGAAATGCAAAACACATTAAGGTAATACTTACTTTTAATTTCTATTTTGACCTTTTAAAGGTTGAATTTGATTTGTGTTTTAGGCCTTGCACAAAATACCTAAAAAATTAAAAGAATTGCTGTTCTCTCAAACGTAAGGTATGGGTATTGAACATGTCTTGTGGCATCTTCAGAGACTGATAATGATCTGCTATTAAAATGAAATGTTGCCCATTTGAAACAGCTGTTTGAGCAACACGTATTTGCACAGTGTGCAGCCATAAAACGCTGCAGTACACAAAGACCTGCTCAAACAATACTCTCTAATAAAGTCCTGGATGCGGCCCACATGGCTCACCTTGTGCTGTCACTCAGCATAAGGTCCTCCGCTGAATAGCAGCTTACGCATCACTTTCACATTAAAAGCCTCTGGCCAGCAACTTCCTGACACTGACGCTGTTGGTGTTCCACCATCCTTGTGAGTCAGTAGAACCACAGTAATTTCCCATGACATTCTGTAACATTTAGGATAATCATCAGAGCTGATGATTCTTTCTGGGTTTTAACCTCTGTGTTCTGGCTTGCAGTTCCTTGTGCTGCAGCCCGAGCCTCATTTTCAGACAATAAATTATTTTGATCTTCCTACATTTAGTGTCAGCGACAGTGAAATGGGAAAATAAGGCTCGCGTGACTCATGGTCACTGCTGTATAAATGTTTTGGATCCTGATTCTGCTTGAACAGCTTGTTATTCAGGAAGTCAACTCCAAGTTCAGTAGGTGGGTGGCATCTAATCAAGTCCAAGCAGTATTATTTCATTTTTTAAAATGCCTTTAAAACCAAGAATAACATCATTATCACTTGTAATGACACATCAAGAACAACAAAAAGAAGTGGCTGTACGCTTCATGACTAAAACCAAAGTATGAGGAGGCAATACCGCACCCCCTGCTGAGTGCACATGGGAGTCTGCCAACAATAACACACAGCGCTGCTGCCAAAATAAAAAAAAAAAACACTTTATGCTTGGCCACCTTGCTTTTTACTCCAGGTTGAGCTGGACCACCCCGGTGTTTGAATCCTCCAGACATTCCGAGCACTTCAAGTGTTAACCATCAAATCATTGCAGGTACTCTGTGGTTAGGAGGCTTTTGTTTTCCCTCTTGTTTTCAGTGATGAGCTGTTTTGATTAGATGTTAACTAAATGTGTTGCACATGACATAGTTGGAATAGTTATCTCATCTGAAGCGTTCATGTGTGGAAGAAAGGGAAAATACCTCATGTAAAGTTTGTTTAGTGAGCCTGACTAAATGTCATTTCTTCAAATGAAAATAAAAACAGTCACCTCCCAATAAAAATATAATCCACCACCGCACATCTGAAAATGACATGAACATGATCGAGGGGGACTTTAAAAAAAGACGCATAACATTTTAACTGGAATGAAGTTTATTCATTTTCAAGACTACATGATTTCACTTTCATCTTATCTCGTTTGTAAAGTTGCTTTTGTTTCTTTAAACATAAGCTGCTTAGCATTTTGGTCTCAAATTGCTACATGTTTAAGACCAAACTCACAAAACTCTGCATGTTTGACCATACACTGATTTCTTTACTTCAACTCAGAAGTTTAACAAGTCAATAGTTAGAAAACCCCACTGGAAAAAAAACACATATATAACGTACAACCCCCGTATATAAAAGGCTACGTGATGGAAGAGTTAATCATAAAAGTGTATGTTTATTATTAAACATTCAAACCACACTTTGAAATGTCATGATAACCACATCCCACATCTCCTGAAACAACTGAACCATTGTCATTACAACTACACAACTCTAGGTGCTGAAAAAAGGCTATGCTCAAACAAGTTATTCAGACGTTGTTATTCTCCCTATCGTTCTTACAAATAGCTCTTTATTACTGATTTCATGATAAATGTGTCAAGATGTCATAACTTGTATTAAAACAATGCTCTTATAGCAGCAATTAAGCGCTCAATGAATGCAATATCACACAGGAGGGAGAGGGCTGTTTACAGGATGACAGAACAGCTGTGATCAGGTCATGGTAAAAGGACACAGACTTAGCGCAGATTTTAATAACATCTGTGCTTATAATCAGCAGCGTGACAACGAGTGTGATATTGCTATCATAAAACAGTTCTACAACTTGCAGTTTGCTTTAATGTTAATTGATGGCACGCAAAAAAAACCTGAGTAGGAGCGAAATATAAAGTCCCACTCCAGTTGCACTCTTTGTGAGAACTCAAAATGTCTCTTTTCCATCTTAATTATATATAGTTGTATAAATCAGAATAAAAGATTGTTTTTTAAATATAAAATGGAGCTGAGATAAGAAATACTTGCTCCTGTATGTAACAGTGCCTCTCTCTCTCTTTTCAAATTCAAATTAAAAAAACTTTATTTGTCCCCGGGGGGCAATTCAAAGGCACACAGAGCAGTAAATTAACAACAGTGCAAGTATGAAACATTTTAACCTAAAATATAAAGTGTCAATTTAAATACAACTTAAAGCTTAAACTTGTATTAAAAATACAAAATATAAAAAAGAGTAGATATAAGTGGACAGAGATCGGACTAACAGATGTAACCATAACTATGTGCAGTAAACGAGAAATAAATATATATATACAGAGCTATGTGCAAGTCGGCTAAATACTAAATGATAAGTTATAAGGTGCATGGTGAAAAATGGAATAACAGAACTAATATAAACAATATAACTGTAAAGGTAAAAATGAGATAAATAAAGTGACCGTAGTGCAATGATGGATAAGAAACAGCAGGAATAAAGTAACCAGAACTGTATGAATGTCCATATTCTGTATATTATCTGTAATCTAGTATAACATGCTCACTGCACCTTAATCTGAAGAATATACTTATATTTATAGCATTTATTTATATTCATAGCATCCCATTAATCCAGCAATATATACCCAATAATTCACTTTTTTTTAAGTCTACATCTGTAAATTTTGTAATTACTGTACATAGCACAGATTCATGCACTTTCTGCTTATTGCACTTCTGGTGAAATGCCAAACTTAATTTCATAACTCTATACTTGCATATGTGTAATGACAAATGATGTTGAATCTCATGAATACTGATATAAAAATGGATAGAATAAAGCGATGTAGTGCAAGTGAGACCAGATCATTTTTAAAAGTTATGTAATACTTCAAGTGCTCTTGTCTTATTTGGTGTACACTGTCTATGTTCCCCACTCACGGCTCAAGCTAAAGGGAGACAGGGCCTTTTCAGTAAAAGCCCCTAAACTGTGGAACAGCCTCCCTCATTCAATCAGGTCTGCACCCTCTGTTGACTCTTTTAAGTCCCGTCTCAAGACATACTTCTATATTTTAGCATTTGAGTCCCCTGGTTCTGAATAGACCATTTCTTTCAGGTTCCTTTGTTGCTTTCTTTATATATTCTTTCTTTTTATTTGTATATGTGTATACATATATATTTCTCTCTTGTGGACGTTGTGATCTGAAGTTGTTTTTTCTTTTTTAATGTATTGTACAGCACTTATTTTTAAATGTGCTTTATAAATAAATTTGACTTGACTTGACTATAAGGGATTACCCAGCTCACTCTCTCCCATCATAATCTGCTGATGATGACGTTATACTGCAGCTCCTGAGCGCTCCACATCTCGCGAGACTATGGAACACAATCCAGACGCCATCTCTCGGCCCCTCTCTCTCTCTCTCTCTCTCTCTCTCTCTCTCTCTCTCTCTCTCTCTCTCTCTCTCTCTCTCAGTTTCCCCCTCCTCCCTTCCCACGCCCCAGTGCGCTGTGGGATAGTGGCACTATAAAGTATATCCTCCTCTCTCTCGGAGAAAAAAGATAAAAAGAAGCCCCGAGACCACAGGAGGGGGATGAAGATGGCGGACGCCAAGCAGAAGAGGAACGAGCAGTTGAAGCGATGGCTGGGCTCGGAAACGGACCAGGAGCCTCCCGTGCTGAAGAAGAAGAAGACGAAGGTGAAGTTCGACGACGGCGCCGTGTTTCTGGCCGCTTGCTCCAGCGGCGACACGGAGGAGGTGCTGCGAATGCTCGACCGAGGCGCTGACATCAACTACGCCAATGTGGACGGTCTCACCGCCCTCCACCAGGTATGTGCGTGGGACACGTCTGTCACCGGGTGTCTGCCGCCGCTGCTGCCGCCGCTGCCGCTTTGAGGGGGGGGGGGGAACACCTGTCAAAATGGAAGAAGCCATTCTCATCCCGTTGTTTACCTTACCCCGCGGAGTAATACTGCATTTACCTCCAGCTTACACTTACATTACACCACTGACATTTTCAGAGTAGCAAAGTTTGAATGCTTCACTTTTTCCAGGACTTCACATTTCCTCTTGTGAAAGTAGTGTGTGTGTGTGTGTGTGTGTGTGTGAGTGTTGTTGGGCTCTGTGTAATTCCTGCGCTGCTGCTGCTGCATTTTCACACTGTAAAAATGTGTTTTTTTTTTTAGTGTTTGGGTGGATCTATTTCCAGCTACTGCGATCGTGTTATCCCAGCAAAGTTATGTTTTTTTAACATGTAACACCAGGTTGATGATATTTCGACTTGTAGGTGTAACCTGGCTGGCTGTTTTAAAAGTCAAAGAGGGGTTTGTTGATTTAAAAAAAAAAAAAAAACAATCCACCGCGTCTGCGTCTAGTCTCTGGGAAGGGCAGCAGGATGCTAAGCGGCTAACTCACTTTTTCACAACGTCACTCGGTTTTGCACGCTACGTTTAAAAAAAACAAACTTGCACGACATTAAAAGTATGCAACACGTTGATGTTTAGGTCATGTTGTTGACACCGGTGTTTTTTGGTGAAATCTTGGCGATGTGGTTGAAATATCTCCGATGCAGTGTGAGCTCAGCGGAATGCATGCTAATGATACTTTTAGCAGGATGAGCTATCTTTTGGGTTTGATTCATTCGTTTCCCAGCGTCAGAAAAACGAAATAATTTGATGCCCCACGTAGTCAGAACTTCACGTTTGACTGCTAATGTGGTGTTTATGGGAAGCAGAAACGTGTGTCTGGTGGTAACATTGCAATTTCTTGCTGGGATGTCAGCAGTGCTAAGGCTAACTTGTGAAGCTACATCTTCTAGCCTCCTGTACTTTGAAAGCCAAATAATGAAAATGGCAGCCTGTTTTGGGCTGTCGTTAGTCAGTAAAAAAAAAAAAAATACCCCCAAAAAACCAGGTGCTACCAAATGAAAAAAGGCTTTTGAAACAGAGCTTCTGCAAAAAAAAAAAAAATGTCTGACTTTCAAGGTTCATAACACATTCACAGTCATTCAAATGTCATGGTATCTCATGGTGGCCAAGTTGGATTCAGTGATGATGTGTACTTAACAAAGAGTTGATTTGCTTTCGTTTAACTTCATGAAACATGGTTTGGTAATGCTGTTTTGTAACCTTTCAATTCTTCACTGTAGTTAGTGTATTTATCTGCATTGTATTGTTTGGTTAATGCTCTGCTTTTGCTCCCAGATATGACCTCACCTCTCTATTATTCAAGATTTTGTTTTATTTGTCACCTGCTCATACAGATGTGCAGTGAAATGTAAAGACTGTTCCGCAAAAGCCATGCAATAAACACTTAAAATTACTAATACACTTATATACATATATTGCTAAACATAGATTACCAGGTAGATATTGGTTGGCTTCTTTCTTTTGACAGGAACAATCTTAAACTATTGCTTCTGTTTTCATTCCTTATGGGAATTGGAATATAATAAGTTAATTACTCATTTAGGCTTTTTTTTCCAGTTTTAAATGCGTATATATTTGTTGGAAGTAAGCATTTATTAATGAAATGTGTAGGTACTTGGACCTTGCAGTTATGTTTTGTATCTTTGACCCTGGAAACAGGACAGCCCCTGACACATGATTGAGAAGTAAACAAGCGACTACTTATTGCTGGTGGAGATATAAAACAACAACAACACATGTTTCCGTGGATCTCGACAGCCACAGGATTCAGATAGCAAACAGTATATATTTTGGATCACCTGCCATGGTTATTTTTTTTTACAGTACTACTTATTTTGTATGAATGACTCCATAATTGACAGAGAAGGCAAATTGCATTTTAGACAGGTAGGCTGAGCGGGGAAAGCCAAATATAACATTTGTTATTCACACCATCATTTTCACAACATCCTTTTTGTCAGTCTTATGATAAAGTCAGTATCTCTTTAATGAGCCTGTTATGTACCGTAGGTGGTTCAGTCTGTATGGAAACCAGTAATTTCACAGTTAAATTCATTGCACAAGCAAGGTTGCTTTATCCACCTGTTTGTTTGGACAGCGAGTGTTTATATAATCTAAGGATTAATGAAAGAGTTCTTACTTTAAATGTTTAATGCTAGCATAGATTTCCAATGATGTCACCTCATTACTCATGCCCACATGTCTAGTCTTAGTAAGCCTCAGTACTGTTAAGTGCACCACCTTGCTACATGTTATGTTTGTTGTCCAAGACTTGGCTATTAAAAGTTTTAAAAGCAAGTTTTCCGAGATAGGTCATTAGCTGTATATTTCGACGATGAATTCATTTTATTTGTGTGTATATTTCTCCGTCTGTTCATTAATGGTCTTGTTAAATCAACCATTTCTCTCTGCTCAGAGTCTGCTATAATTAAATCTGGAATTAACGTGGCCCCCTGTGCAAACTCACTGGGTGGAAACGTTGCCTTTTTTTGGGCCGATGTCCAGGGATGAGCTAGAGGGAAGAAAGAATTTGATTTGCAGTGCCGCTCTCCAGACCTAACCATCTCTGGAGACAAGAATGATGTGTGTGAGTGTGTGCAAGAGTTGTCAGCCAGCATGTGATCCAGGGGTTTTGTGGTGTTATAAAGGAGTTGAAGAAGGCGGTACAGGGATTCATGTTTAAAGTGCTAATCCTGTACTTTCAGAGTGATGAAGCTGATGTTCATCTCCTTTAATGAAGTGAAGATTTGATAGACAGCCAGAGTCATTTGATGTTTTCCTAGATGTCTTTTGTTATTGTTACATTGGCAATAAAACCCTATTCTCATTCTGATTCTCTCCCTGTTGAATACAGAAGGTAAACGCTGGAAGATTGTCTAAAACTTACAGGTTTTCTATTTGGGGAGAGAAAGCATACAAAAGTCTCCTCTTTCTGTTGAATGGCTGACCTCTGACTTTGTTGTGAAGTGTGTCATGTTGTTACATGAGGGCTCACTCCTCACTCGTATCACTCCAGACTGGTGACCAATGCCGGGTTATAAATACCCCTGCCACAAGTTCTCCTAACTGGGTTTCAGGAGATGATACTAAGTTTGGGTATGACTCAGAGTCTGTAGCTCTGCTTTGTAGTGCAGCTCTGGCATAATCTCACATTTAGACTACAGACTGTATCTTCATGTGAGTCATGACCCATCTGTCACTTTACAGATGAGTTGTAGCGGAGACATCTGTAAACATGTTCTCTTCATTGGGTTACGGTTAGGGTTACCCTTACAGGCCTGATTGTGTAAATGGACATTGCTGGGGATTTGAGAACTAAACCAATGATACCATGCGTCATCTTCAGTTTGTTGTCGAAGCAAAAGCACGAGAGTGATAGTTTGAGACTTGACTTTTCCTACCAGACCCCTAGTGAATTTCCCTCATGAAGTTGGGGTTAGCGGATGTAAGAATCCAGCAGGATATATTCAGGAAAATTCACCCTGAGCAACTCGGCAGGGGGTGGTGACGTTTATGTCCTGCGACCGCCGTGCAACTGGTGTGATCTCAGTGCACACAATGAAGCTGCTGAATTATGTTTTCTGTTAGCCAGCATAGCTCTTCTACGCTCTGTGAGTGTGTACCGTGAATATGTCGAACTACTCGAAGCAATGATATGAATCTATTCCTGAAGATTTCAGAGGCAGCCGAAATTTGTTAGAAATCTACTGGCTTAAGTGAAAAGCACCTGTTTTGTGAAACATTACCGCATCGTCTCATGACCAGCCTTCAGTATTTAGTTAGCAGCTACTATCTAGACTAAAGCTCTCATAACTATGGTTTGGAGCACTGCAGCAGTCGAGGTAATGGTCTGAAGTTGATAGAAATGTGAGGTGTTGTTGGATCTACTTCTGCCACATTATAGCTTTTTCTTGTTGCGTTGTTTTTAGCAGGCAGCTCCCTTCCATGTGTGTTTGTATTATGGGTATTTTATAGGCTAAATACATAGGTTTTATACTTCTCCTTATTGTTGCACAGTGCCTACAATTCCTCTTTTCATATTTCAGCCTTAGACCTAATCTTTTGTTGGTAAAAATAAAGATATGCCATTTCCCTGTTGAGTATCAAGAGACAGAGTAGTTCACCCAAACATAAACAGAATGGATTCAGGTTGCTGTAAAGAGGTCCTTTGAATGAATGGGGGGGTTCAGAAGACAAGTGGAGATTCCTGAACTCGTCGGCTAAACTCGTCTCAGAGAGTAGCATTCCTGTCGTCCCGGCTTGTGCATTCCTCACATGACAGTCGCTGGAAACCATGGCAAAGAGAGAGCAGAGCAGACATTCCTCAGCTGTCACCTAAACCCCTCCCCTCCAGTCATTCCCTCGCTCTCTCGCTCTGGCTTGCCTGTCCCCATGCAGTGCCAAGGCCCTGGCTGACTGTTGCCCACTGAGCTCCATCAAGGCAATTAGCGTGGAGGTAACCAGGGCTTGTCGCCTCACACAGGAAAATCTCCACACTGACCCACAACTGAACTTTTGTCTCTAGCGTCCATGATCCTTAGGATCGAGGTGACAGGACTCAGCTCAGCTTAACGTGTCCGAGTTGGGTATTACAATGCCTCTGCTCTGTTGACATTACACACCCTCATTATGGCCCTGAAGTCTATGAACATTATCTTGCACTGTCTCCATGACAACGACTCAGGCAAGGTTGCTAGTCACTTGTGTTGGTGGATTTGCATGTACAGAGTGGGAGTTGCATAACACAGCGAACAGAGAGAGAGAGCCTTTGGCAGTGCTCGGCAGTTAGAAATGAGAATCAACCTCCATGAATCTTGTAATGGAACAATTAGAGAGCATGTGATGGAAGGAAGATGGCGATGTGGCTGTTTCTTTTCAGCCTCACCAGCACCAGTCATATAA